TTCCTGACTCTCCATCGGCCATAAAAAATATATTCCCAAAAATTCCTCAAAATGTCCCACTTTCTCACAAACCATGGCCGCCCTAGCCTCCGATGCGGCACCCGACACGACAGCTGCAAGATTTATATCTTGTTACATGCAAAAAGCACGTTGTGACTGCATATTGCATTTGCACGGTTCGAATGCATTTCGGGTGCTACCTACTTTGGTTTCTAAGCGTTTTGTAAAGTTATAGAAGTAATTTCAATCCTAAGCAGTCTACATTGCAAATACAAAAGTATTTCCTTGTATGATTTATATTTTGTTAACATCCATACAAACTTTCGCATTTATAATATTAGTAGGACTAGCTGCGCCCGCGCGCGACTAGACATAAGTATTTCCCATTTTTTTCAATATTTTCCGTTACTGCTCCGCCCCTATTGGCTGTAGGGTGATGTTATAAAGCCTAATGCCTTCCTCAATAATGAGTTATTGTCACATAACATGCAAAAAACACGGCAAAGATTAAGCATTTCGGGTTGGCTACTAAGGTTTTGTTTAGAGAAAGTTTAGAAGAGATTTCAAGACTTGGAAGTCCGCAATCCTATGTAAGAAAATTCTTCCTGCCTTTTTGTTTTGTGCCTTTAATTGAATTAAAATTATTTTATTTAGTGTACGAGTCCTTAGCTATTTTTATTTCTCTTTTTTTGATATCTTAACGAGTATTGTTTTTTTTATTTTCGTTCGTTCGTTCGTTTCAGCCGAAAGACGTCCACTGCTATTAAGTCCACTGTTATTAAGTACTAAACATTTTTATTTTATTTATTAGGAAATATTAAACAATTAAACTTACATTTTGCCAGTTTTCACAAATGTTATGTACACAGAGGAAAAAACATAATAATTATAGGTAATTACAAATGATTTACTGATAAATAATTAATTAACATTTACACCTTAACTAACCTTACAATTGACTATGTTGTAAGTATTATATCACTCTTTTGGTTAACTACCTACCTATTATCACGAGTATAAAATAAATAAATAGCTACCAATAATATACCTATCATAGCTAAAAAAATCTTCATTTTACAAACAACAGTCACCCATTACATCCTCTTCATTAAAACTCAAAAACGCCGACCATCCTCACATATTATGTCAAACTGTCAATTTCCAGCTGACCAGCCAAGTCAGAGCCCCCACCACCTACCAGTTCTCCCCGTTGAGACCCGTTGTCAGTACTCCGAAAGGGGGGGTAGGGTTCAGCAAGACTGGTCAAGTCACCTTGCTCGGTGCAACGACCTCAAGGTACCATTGAGGAGTCATGTTTGAACTACACTTGAAGGATGAGCATATTATCTCTTTATACTTGATCTGGAGTGAGTTTTTCAATAATATCTGGAGTGTATTGGAGTGAATGAAATAGTGACAATGCAAAATGGAGCAAGTCCATGACTGTATATAATTTAATTAAATATTCTATCAATCTACATAATTCCTACTTATTTTAAACTATTGTTTACATCCCGGAACGTCTGGAACATGGAAGAGTTCGCTTCTTAGCGATAATATCGAATAATATCAAATAAATTAAGCCACACTTTGGTTTAGAACAAAGAATACATGAAGAAAACTATGTTATGTCTTTGTAGAATTGATTTCTTTGACTAGACCCTTCCTGCTAGAGCTTTCTCGCTAGAGCTTTCCTTTCCTTAAGAGAGTCAAACTTTCTTCAGGCTTATACGATGCCTTGTGTCTCTGTTATTAAGTACTAAACATGCGGAACCCTAGACCCTACCTTCATTTATTGATGTTAATATTATCTTAGATTGTTAGGTAAATAGGTAGCCTACCTTCTTCCACAAAATGCAGATTTTCAGTTATTTAATGTATTAAAATTTCTTAGCGAATAGAGTCGCTTCTCAAACTAAATTTTAAATAAACAACTTGAAAAAACGTCCCGCCTTAGGCTGTTCGATTTTTTCAAGTTGTTTAATTAAATTGTAATTTTTGGATGCCATGCTATCAAACTATTTGTTAATAATATCAAACCACAGATCAAACTGTCAGCAGAAGTTATTTTCAGCCAGCAAGAATCGAATAAAGTGACAGGTCAAATGACATATTTTACTGATTCGAATTAAACGCTCTTTTCGTTTAGCGATTGTGAACTCTTTTCCAGTATTTTCCTTTTTAAATAATGCTATGTCTGACTGATTCTTAGCACTTGCCAAAATGTTTTCCAAAAAAGATTGGAATAAAATATAACTGTTTCAGAACAACGCGTAAACTTTGACCTACGTTAAACCACAAAACAAATAAGCAGTTAAACACCTTTTATTTTTTGTAAAGGCTAAATACCACACACTTTAAAATATGTCCATTTAAGATTGTAATTTCTTTGCTACGCCCCCAAATTACGAACAATGAAGTAAGTATTTTTGCTTTCGATTAGAAATCTATAGCGATTTAAATACGTACAAATGTATAGATAAATCTCATAGTTCACTAACATTACTGAAAGAACTACCTAAGTGGTAGATAGAGTCAAGTCAAATAATCTATTTTTGCTCTATGACTCATTATCGTGTTTGCAACCATAATATCTGGGGCAAGGAAATTCGAATCCATGACATTCTTAATTGACATCATTCAACTAAAATGTATTTTGTAAAGACAAATTAATTAAAGATTGCCCGTAATCATGTTTGGTAAATATAATAATTAGTTGTCTAAGCAAACGCAGACAATTAACGATTATTATCGTTAACTATAAAACTTGTTAAGTATTTAATAATAACAGGTAAAGGTTATTGACCTTAGATAAATCACGTGACTGATGACGTATGTCATTTGTATTTAAATAGCATCCCAAAAGAGGTATGGTGCCTCTACTTTTTCTTTGGGCTTTTTACTCTAGAATATAAAGGCGCAAAATAGCTTAGCTTCCAGGCTCTACATTTTCATCAACTCTTATTTTTGTGATTAAAGTAATATTTAAAAGGTTGCATGGACTATATAATATAATAAAATTTATAATCACGTGCTTCTGACGACGTATTTATTTTGTACTTTATTTGTACCATTCCAAAACAAACATTTATTGACTCTACTTTATCTTTTGCCCTTTTTATGGTAGAAAGGCACACAAATTATACAATAGGTTACTGACTCTATATTTTCATACCTCTTTTTGTTACGGTCTCTTCTTTGTAAAGTTCCTGCAATTGGTTATCATATTTTAGTGTTTTCGTGAATATGTATTGTCAAACAAAGTTATTTAGACTTTGGTGGATATTCGATGGAACTTGGAAGTTTTCACTGTAAATTAATAAGACCTGAAAAAGTCATCAATGACTGAAAAACTGCTCTATTTCAGAGTTAAATAAGTTTTATTGAACCCAGAACCGTGAAAAGCTGTAAATCCTAAAACTGTAGAGCCAAAACCTCTGTGATAAGCTGCAAACCAATAAAATCCATATTACCTAATACCTACCATATAGCTTTGATTATCACTCATTGAAATGGAATGTAGAGATAACCGTCATAATGATTATGACACAAGAGGCGACCCCCACCAATCATGAATTAATGAAAAGACAATGGCGGCGTTGCCGGTTACAGTAGGTTACAGTGCCATCAAAAATTGGACATTAAATCGCTGGTAACAAATCTTATAAAGCGCTCTACATTCTTAAAAGCTGGACTTCTTTACAAACATACACTACACTTGACCAATCTTGTTATTATTATGCTAATAATCTAACAGGTTGCTTGGTAGAGACTATTCAACGCCTTTAAGTCCAGTCCGAACCCGTTTTGTCGCTAAAACAGGATCGGATATTGTTACGTATGAATAGTAAAGTCCTACCAAACCGTATTATTTGATAGACGTCAATGTTAACGCAACGGCCGAGGCTGGCGTGTCCAGGTAAGCAGAGTGAGACAAAGCATACTATAACACCGTGGACTTTCTTCAAATCAATACAATAACCGGTCTGAATGACAACCACCATTTCAAACCGCGTTAAAATCCTAAACGAGCGCCGAGAGACGTCTGATGGCCGAACCGTCGTACAGAACGGGAAAAATTAGCCTAAATACGTGTGCAATACGATTATAAAACGTTCCGTGGCCGCGGGTCGCGGTACAGCTTAGGCTTTGAGCGGCGGAGGGACGCGCGACTGTAATCTGCAATCAAAATGGAAGCGGTCGGCCATCTTAGTTTGCGAGCGAGAGCGCGCGTTCGGGAATTTGGGAAATTGGTATTTTTTTTTTTGTAAAGAGCAGTATATAAGAGGTTGGTAGGCAGAGGACAGCGGGGCGGGGGGAATCTCGCACGGCTAGCGGTGTGAAGGGAAAGAACTGAGGCGGTCCGCGCGGTGTACACAGCAAGGACACGTCGCGAGATATCTCGCTTTGTTTAGAACTGGCAGAGTTTAAGCTTTTGATTAAGAGCGCGAGCGATGAGTAATTGTAGCTACAGGGCAGGGGTGCCCAACCGTGGGGTGAATGTAAAGGGAGGTGCACAGTGTTGCGAATGTATTTTTTGCGTGACTCAGACTCTAAAATGCTTTTTTATTGCAAACGTCTCGTTTCAGGAAATTAGGTTTATGAGGTATCTCAAATTAATTAATCTTTAAATGCTATGCTTATGGATTTATTAAACTTTCTTGATAATTTTATCGTGATTATGAAAAGTCGTGCAATATGTAAGTAGGTATATTGACATTTATAATCGTCGTCATAGATTGTCTTTTTATCTGCTTTTGAAAAAGAATGTTAACTTTGTGTCTAACTAAATAGAGTTTCAAAATGTTTACATAATTATGGCGATCATTAGATTAAAATGACATTCAACTATGAAAAAACGATGTCGACCGATTTGGTCCTTCGCCGCGAAGGATCTATCTTCCCGGGCGGCATCGTTTGCGTTCGCCGCACGAATCCTTCACCCGTGCGATCCTGCGACATCCGATTACAGCATAGGACAATGGGCCTATCTCGGGACCGGTCGCCGTTCTCCCACCCGCCCGTGCGTCCGCTACCTATCTTTCATTGCACGTACGAAGCGGGGGGAGGGGAGCCCGCGCGGCATACGCGCCCGCGGAGCCATCTTGCTAGCGGCCGTTCCAATGCTCGCGTCTCGTGCCACAAATCGCTCTTAATTCGCACTAATTACCCATAAAAACACCTGAAAAACAACAATAAACAGTGCTAAAACACCTCAAGACCCCCAAAAGGACGAAACACCGAACGTTGTTGACATAAATTGTGTGTTGTTGATATATATGTGTGCATTCAACATTTTCAACTGTCTAGGTGAGTAGTCAGTGGTCTTTGTGCGCGACAATTATCATTCTGATCGATTCGGCGCGGGGGTGTGCACTCCGAGTTCGTTTTATATCTTTTGTTGTTTTGTAACGGTCTGAAATCAATAATTTTAGTGGTGAGGACTCTAGTTGACCCGTGCGGACTGACGTGAGTGTGCGTTGACTTATTTATCGCGTTTCAATTGAGATTATTTCTCACCGTGTGAAAGTACAAACTGTGCCTGTGTTTCAACGTTTTGATACGTGTGATCGTCGCTGCCAGCCACTTGTATGTAAGTATTTCTTATTTGTTTTTTCCGTATGCATTTGTGTATAGTACGGCTTTCTTTCCGTCTCTATTTATAGAACACCAGGAGAGCGTGTCAGTAAATTGTGCAGTTGAAGTGAATCGGAGACAATTTGTGACCTTACACAACGTTTAAAATAGATCTGGTTTTCAAGAAGTATCTTGCCGGTGTCTTAAACTCTACATTTCAGTTTCCGAACGCACGAAAAATTGCCGCTAAAAAAAATAAAAACAAAAACAAATGAACAAACTGAGAAAATATTGTTGAAAGAAATAAGTGTGTTATTATTTTTAATCGTTTCATATTTCAAGGTTTATTATTTTGCTGAAAGAGTTGTTTATTCATTTTATAAATAGAACCAGTGGCTATTATTATAATCACCAAGGCGTAGGCGTAACATTGATAGTTTATCTTTCGAAGCTATTACTTACCTATTATGGCATAATAATGACAAAGTTTCTAATAATAAACATTATTTTATGAGCACTAAATTCTTAGAATAAAGAAAAATAAAAACCAACAGTTTTTAATTTCACGAACTTCGTCCCACTTTGCACTCTATCTTTTTTTATCTGTACAAAAGGCAAAGATATCCATTAGCATGCAGCTTCAACGATTTTAAGACTAAATGCGGGGCAAAAACTGCCTAGGCTGTATAGGTGCGATTCCTTTGTCTGCTCGAGCTACCAACATAGGAAACGAGAAAAAGAAATAAAATTGTTTACGTGCATGCAATAAAATTATAACCAAGAAATAGTTTTAATTAATACCCATTATACAAGATGCTGATAGCTGATGTTATGAAACTTATATCAGGTTGAAATGACCTTAATATGTGACATGGCAACTGCGATCTAGATAAGCGTATGTTGTGTTTTTATTGACGTGAAACGAATTGGATTTTTATTCAAATCAGATTTAATGATTAATTTTAAGGCTTTATGTGCTTAAAATTTTGTTGCTCGAATATTTCTTCTGCTGATATTTGATAAAGTTTATTATAGCTAATACATAGGTACTCATTCAACCTACTTATCGTGTATTTTAAAGTAAGAACACCGACACATCAACCTAACACTGTAATATCTTATACATTTGAAGTATTTTATGCAAATTAGCACATAAAATATTATATTTTATGTGCTGATTTGCATTAAAAATGTAAAGGTGGTGGATGTGCTAGTGACTGTACCTAGATTATTATCTAAACAATGAGCTGATAGTATCAAAAACACGTCCGATTACGATTATTGACTTCTTCTTCCATCTAACGGCACAAAATATATCTTTTTGTGTTTCTATTACCAGGAAAATACACTCAATTGATGATCTACCAGATAACGACCCCTTTTTCTCGGCTAATAAGGACAGTTTTAAGAAACCAGTCAAATAACCTACACAAATGATATCAATTCGACTCTACCCATTTCTCTCACTCCGTTATCAAGCCGATATATCTGAAAGAGACGGATAGCCGGCATAGAGACCCCCCGGTTATTACATTACATTTACGCAGACCACAGAAACGATCCATTTGGGTCTTGTTTATACACCCAGTTTATCTGTGTGCTGGTTTTCTCACGACGTTTTCCTTTAGCGGGTTAATGACATAATTATTAGCTTTAATTCCGAAAAAATCGATCGAGGACTCACGACAGTGATTAGGCAAGTTCATAAAGTGACTGGACTTTTGTAAGTTGTTCATTTTGGGATAATTTGTAGCTACCAGCTGCTACTTATACCTACCTGTTTAAGTCCAAAAATCTTTCAGCTAGGACAACTAACAGATCGAAATCCTATCAAACTCTATTATCATCCGTATCGTCATTATTAGACTGAATACAGCTTACAGCATTTCGTTTAATAGCTTTTATTTGGATGTTTCAAAGACCTTTAATCCAAAATTTTTTTGGCATTTTTTTCCACAGTTCTCAGTTCAGTAAGTCTCACGAGCCTAAGGAATAGAGCTACTCAAAAACTTGCGATTGGCAAGTCTCTGACTAATATTTACTTATGCCAAAAGTCCGTGTGTTTTTCTTATCTATCTGACACAAATGTGACTGTAACATCCTAACCGGTAATATGGGTAGAGCTCTAAATGGAAATACAAATAACGGCGAGATTTGCTAACTCCATCCATTAAATACCTACTCAGATTTGGTAAAAAACTACAATTTTAAGAGATCTAAGTTTTTGAGAAAAATCTGGTAAATAGACGCAAAACGAAAGGTGTTGGGATTAAAGCGCAACTCTTCTGTCTTTTGCTGAAGCTGAAATTGTGCAAATGGGTGGTTGCAATTGGAATCAGAACGTTACATTTTCTTGACTGAATCTATGAAACAAAATACTATCTTTACATTTCGAAAGAGAGGTAAAGCCGGTCATTCATGCTTATTAGTGAACGAGAAAACTATTTGACTTCATAAAAAAAATACATTTTATAAATAACAAGTTCCGCCTACCTAAATTCTACTAACATAACTCCTACGTCTGTCTATTGTCTTTTACCTACTACAAATTGGTACGCCTAAAGCTAGCACATTAGTATTACGCTTCTAATTTTCTTAATAAACTACTGTCATGTCTTGTAAATTATGTGTTAAGAGCCATTTTACATTTTCGTGCGAATTTCTAAGATTTTGGAAGCTTGAATTACTATCTTAAGCAACACCCAGAGATTATTTAATAACTGCGAAAGATAGGTCAATCCTTGTTGTTGACCATTAATGAAACGGATTTACTAAAACTCTTTTGCTTAATTCACAGTGCCCCATCTCCCACAACCATTTTACGAAAAAATTGCCGCAGACTCATTTTCAAAGTCCTGTATCTATTATTTATGCTCATATAATAAGCTTAAAAATATATAGTAATCATCGGACATATATTCTTGTAGTCCATTAATGAAATAGATTCTTGAATTTCATTACCATTATTGAGTAAAATCTAAAAATAATTTGGCAAATTTGAAGATTAACGTCACATTTTGATCGTGGTTTTTGGTTTAAAAACACAGCAATAACTGCAATAAAAGTATCCCAAAATAAAGAATATTCATTGTAGAATTAATTTCTACAGTTATTGTTTAAATATTAGTAACCACTTTGTCAAAATATTGATGTGAATATCAGTATAAATTACAATGCGCAAGCCGACATCGATTAGTATGGCGCGAGCGCCCGTCAAGGCAAACGTTTTCAAAATAAAGTTTTAAAAATCTTGAGCTGTGCACCTTGGTTTACAAAATCCATTGAAGTGATACCAAACGTCAAAGAGGGTGTGGAAAATCCTGTAAAGCTTACAACCAAAGACTAGACCTTCATGCAATCTATTTGCTGCATCCCTTCTAAATTCTAATAATTCTGCATTTAGGCTCGGGAGAAAGCAAATAGCATCAATCTGAAAACTTATTGTAAAAGAATCGAGGTGACAAATCATAGGATATGCTGAGCTGGAACTGTCATTATTACAAATTCAATTTAATCTGATAATGGGTGATGGCTGATCGCAGATAGATTAAAAAGAAAAATAAAATTTGTGAGATCTCCTGATCCATTATCTGTACGTTTAATCGTTTGTACCACATTGAAATCAAATAAATGATGATTAAGATTCTGATGAAAAACTGTGCCACGTAGCCCCTTCTGGCCGAAACTAAATGTTCCTGTTATAGCCTCGATTATTGCAGTATACTGAAAATATCTTGATACAATAAATAATAGAAACGACTGTTTTCCTTTTTCAAAGGGTTATTAAGTGTACCTACAGCGTTTTTTATGACGCTTTATATTTGTATACAAATTTAATGTTGTTTTCTTGCGTTTTTACATCTTTTTTCTAATTACCATTAGATTAAGTATTAGCCTTATCTAATTACCGTGACTATAAAAATTTTGGGTCTCATTTGCGCGAAAACCGCTTGGAATAATTTGACGCCTTAACGATTGTTAAATTCGTACTTTTCGTGTGTTTCATATTTAAATGCGTTTAAGTTAATTAAGCCAAATTTCAAAAATAATATGGTAATTAGGCTGAGAACGCCTAATCGTGAGAATGACCGACTTAATATATTTTACATGTCATACCTATTCGTGTTTCATTATTCGTATCCAGGGTCCGATGATGGAGCTGTAAGGGGCAGCGTTGCCAGTTTTTTTTTTTCGCCAAGTCGGGACTTTGGTACTTTTTGAGTGAAAATAGCGGGATTCTTCCGTCAAAAGCGGGACATAGTAAAAAAACGTATACAATCAAAGGTTTTCAAATATTTATCTTTTTATTTGACTTAAAATTACGTTTACGTGACAATAGATAGCAAAAGTAGCCATAGAAAATGTATTTTAACAAAAAAATAATATTTTAAATCAGATTTACTCTATCGTTAAATTCGTCTTTAGAATAAAAAAATAAAAAATAAACCAAAATCGAAATAAAAAAAAATATTCTTTAGAATAATATGGCGTTTCAAACAATAGTCTGGTGAAGTGAATGTCTCTCTCCGAAAAGCGGGACCAAGCCTGTCCCGCGCGGGACAAATATTTTTTTTTTTTTAAATCGGGACGTCTGGCAACGCTGGTAAGGGGGCAGATTTATTTTTCACTATGTGACTGTCTTTATTTTGTACTTAATATATATTTTACATATTATACCTATTCGTGTTTCATTATGAATCGAAATATAAAAGACTTAATAAACTCTATTAAAAATTTAAATTAATTAATCAAGTTTGAATACCTCATTCTACCTTAAAATTAATAACTTAAATCAAGTCTTAATACGGTCACGGCTCAAGATTTTTTTGTCCATTTCAGCGTTCTTTTTACACTTTTGACGTTGCGTTGACAGCTTTTACCTAAATTCGCGCGGAATATTTTTGTGAAATGGCTCTTAATTACACGCCCAAGTATTAAAGAAAATCAGTTTTAAAATACCTCGAAAAATAAACAGGAAAGTACATAGCGCTAGTCTATACCTACTTACCTACCTAT